GGGGCCAACGGCAAGGTCTCCTGTGCCCTGGACGATCAGCTCGTCTTCTCCCTGCGCCCAGCCTATAAGAATTACTACGAGCTGGTGACCGTGAGTGCCCTGGACCGCGAGGAGACGGCTCAGTACATGCTGACGGTGACAGCAGCAGACGCGGGCTCCCCTCCTCTGACGAGCAGCCACACCTTCACCGTGGCCATCTCGGACGTCAATGACAACGCCCCTGTCTTCAACCAGAGCTCGTACACCATGTACGTGCGGGAGAACAACGCGCCCAGCGTGCTGGTTGGAGCCGTGAGCGCTGCAGATGCCGACGTGGGGCTCAACGCCAAGGTGACCTATTCGCTGTCAGCGGGGCAAGCGGCGGAGCGGCCTTGGTGCTCGTGCCTGTCGGTGAACTCGGAGAGCGGGCAGGTGTTTGTGCTGCGAGCCCTGGACTACGAGCAGCTGAGGCAGAGCGAGGTGGTGGTGAGCGCCTCTGACGCGGGCTCTCCTCCCCTGCGAGCCAACGTCACCGTCCGCCTGCTGGTGCTGGACGAGAACGACAACGCCCCGCTCGTGCTGTACCCGGCGCCCGACAGCGGCCCGGCCTCCAGCGAGCTGGTGCCCGTGTCGGCTGAGGCGGGCTACCTCGTCTCCAAAGTGGTGGCCGTCGATGCCGACTCGGGGCAGAACTCGTGGCTCTCCTACCACCTGCTCAGGGCCACCGACCCCGGGCTCTTTGCCGTGGCTGCCCAAAGCGGCGAGGTGAGGCTCAGGAGGCCGCTGACAGACAGAGACAGCGTCAAGCACAAGCTCGTCGTCCTGGTGCGAGACAACGGCCGCCCACCCCTCTCAGCCACCGCCGCTCTCAGCGCACTCCTGCTCAAGGACTTCTCCGACCTGCGCCAAGCGCACAGCAGCCCGGCCACCGACGACCAGCCCGGCTCCCTCACCACCTACTTAATCCTCGCCTTGGTCTTCGTCTCCCTGCTCTTCCTCGGCTCCACAGCAGCCTTCGTGGCTCGCGGGCTGTGCAAGAGAAAGGAGCTGAAGGCTGGCCACGTGCTTTACGGGGCCGACAACTTGCCCAGCGGCCTGGCCGAGGCAGCTGCTGCAGGGACCCTGCCCCACCCCTACTGCTACGAGATCA